GGACGAACCACTGGATTACGGAGAAGAATTGGGGGAGGAAGTGAGCGACCGGAAAGTGAAATACGAAGGATTTTTCTTTCAAAATCTGCATGAACTGAGACATGAAGCAAATGAAACGGACTCGCATGACCTGGTTCAGGATGGTAATGGCATCTTAGGAACGCCATTTCTGGCTGAGGACAGTGGGAGCAAGTGTTCATCAGATGGGAATCAGGCGATGCACAAGGAAAATCCTGAGGGGGATATACTAACACAAGTGGAAGCCACATTGAAATGTCATGTATGTGACGTGTGTGGCAAGAAATTCTCTTCTCGGAGAGGGTCGAAGTTCATATGAGAGGCCACACAAAGGAGAAGCCATACATGTGTGATATTTGCAATAAGACATTTTTTGTAAAAGGGAGACTAGTAAGGCACATGACAGTGCATTCAAATGAGAAGCCCTTCAGATGTGATACTTGCAAGAAGTCTTTCGCATACAAGACCTCTCTTGTAAAACATGTCAAAATACATACGAAGGAGATTTGCTGTGAGATTTGCAGCAAGGCTTTCGGACAAAAAACTATTTAGTGAAAACATATGAGGGTACATACAAAAGAAAAGCCATACTGCTGTGAAATTTGCAACAAGGCTTTCTCAGAAAAGAGTGGTCTAGTGATGCATATAAGAATACATACAAAAGAGAAGCTATATAGCTGTGAGATTTGCAAAAAGGCTTTCACAGTAAAGTCTCATCTAGTGAGTCATATGAAAGTACATACAAACGAAAGGCCATATAGCTGTGAGAATTGCAACAAGGCTTTCAAACAGAAAATGACTCTAGTGAGACATACAAAAAGACATACAAAAGCGAAGCCATACAGCTGTGAGACTTGCAACAAGGCTTTCACAGAAAAGCATGATCTAGTGAGACATATGAGAGTTCATACAAAAGAAAGGCCATATAGCTGTGAGATTTGCAACAAGGCTTTCAAACAGAAAATGGCTCTAGTGAGACATATGAGAGTACATACAAAAGAGAATCCATATAGCTGTTATTTACAACAAGGCTTACAAACAGAAAATGACTCTAGTGAGACATACAAAAATACATACAAAAGAGAAGCCATACAGCTGTGAGATTTGCAACAAGGCTTTCACAGACAAAAGGAATCTAGTGAGACATGTGAAAGTACATACAAATAGAGCTGTTTTACAAAATGGCATTTTCACAGAAACACATTATGGTGAGCCACATGAGATTACGTACAAAAGAGAAGGCAAGTATGAAATGGAACCTCACAGAATTGTTACCTAGTGCCACACATGAGAATACATACAAACGAGAAGCCAAACAGCTGTGAGATTTGTACTAGTTCTCGGTCTATATATAATTTTACATAGAGGTCACGAACCATGTAAAAGGTGAAGGTCTATAGATATACTTTCACCCATAAAAGATATCTTGTAGGGATCATGAGGAGTATGAATCAGCCCCATTTTTATCCCAAAGAAACATACTTCCTCTTGACATTATTGTGGAAGAATTGGCCTGAATATTTCTGATATATTGTACATGATATTCTTAATGTGTAGTTTTTGCCAAGTTTTAATAAAGTTATTATTATGACCTGTATTTTAGTCTCCATGTACATACATATATATATGTAAATATATGTAAACATACATATATATGTATATATATGTAAATATATATATATATATATATATATATATATATATATATATATATATATATATATATATATATATGCACACACATATATATAAGTGCCGTCACTTATTAAAGGTGATCGAAAGTGAAATACTGTTGGTCATAATGTGCTTGGTAATTAAAGCACTTATCCTTGTTCATTAAAGGCTGTACATAACCCAGTGCCACCACCCGATTGGTACATTCGAGAACAAGTGTGGGAGGAGATGCGATTGGGGAAAGAAGGGACAGCATTGTATGTATGTGTGTGTGTGTGAGATGCAGTTGTGCAAATGAGCCGAAGTGAGGTGGGCGTGGTTAGAACCCCTAGGAGAGGCGTGTGCACATGGTTGCTTGCCCTATACGAGTTGAAATTAAGATGTGCTAAGATCTTGCTCAGCTTTCCTTCTTGCAAATAGACGGTGACTTATCGAAAAGATTTATGATGAAATCAACTATTTACTTTATAAAAGCAGAAATAAAACATACGATATATATCTATAAATATATATAAATATATATATATATATATATATATATATATATATATATATAATTATATATATAATATTATATAATATATATATATATATATATATATATATATATATATATATATATAATATATAATTATATATTATATATATATATATAATATATATATATATATATATATATATATATATATATATATATATATATATATATATACATATATATATATCATATATATATATAAATCACATGTATGTGTGTGTATACATATACATAAATACTGTACCTATATACGTTATCCTATAAATACTAACCTACATACACACACGCGCATCAATACCCTTGTATGCATTCGGCAAAATATATTTATTGTATAACAGACATGATGTTGACTTACGTGTTTGTGGTTATATTACGAGAGATTTTTTTTTTTTCTCTAGGGTGAGCTAGTCTATGGATATATCAGCGCTTAGCGAGTTCGTCTAGCAAACTTGCAGACCTGCGTTCAATCCCACGCCCGGCCAGTGAATGATAACCCCGGCCATTCCTTGCACACAGGGTGAGATTTGGAAGTAAAATAATACAGTGTCACAGCAAAGAATATCCATTGTAACAAATGGAATAAAACTATATGTTTTAACTTATAATCATTAGCGAAATTTACCTCTTCCTACTCTGGGGATTAATGCTACAGGCTATCGGCAACAGAAATCTAAATAACTGGAATTAAACAGCAAAATTCGTATGAGAGGCGAATGTATGCCTCGTATCAGGATCAAGCACCACCCGCTGATCTCTTCCCTTTGCTCTCGGGACTCTCGGGACTTTGCTTCCAGCCAAACTTCATAACATAATCCTTTGTGTGAAGTAAATGTATCTTGTTTCAACTAATAGGGAATGTGCCCCAATTCTTCCCATTCTCTCTCGCTCTCCCTCCCCCCCCCTCTCTCTTGCTCTATCTACTTTTTTATCCATATATCTCTGTGTTGCGCTCTCTTTCCCGCACCCTACTCTCTCCTGTGTGTGTGCGTGGATCTTTCTGTGTGGCACGCCCCCCCCCCCCCCCCCCCTCTCTCTCTCTTGAGAGAGAGAGAGAGAGAGAGAGAGAGAGAGAGAGAGAGAGAGAGAGAGAGAGAGATAATGGTGTTTCTCGTAAATTTGGACTCACACGCAGCAGAAGAGGGCGCATCTTTCGTACAGCAAATAAAGTCCTGATGCTACCTGGAAACACGACGCGGGAGGGACATAATATATATATATAATATATATATATATATATATATATATATATATATATATATATATATATATATATATATATATATATATATACACACACATGCATATAGATATGAAAATACATACATACATATGTATGCATTCATGCAAAGATAGTCTTTGCTTAAAGGATCTCTGCGCGACCGACCGAGAGGCGAAGGCAGCGTGAGGGAGCCGAGTCTCCTTCGAGGGTCTTGGGCATGAGGAGAGGAAAGCCCAGGGGTCTCCAAGGGTCTCCAAGGGTCTCCAGGGGTCTCCAGGGGGCCGATGTTACCCCTTGGGGATCAATACGACTCTGCAAAGGGTCCATAAACTCCTGTTCTTTAACAGGTGATGTAAACGTCGGGATCGGAATTGCTGGATTGCTTGCTTGTAATCCAGCCACCACGATAAGCATACAGTTCAAGGAAAAGACATGAGTTAACTAGAAATAGTTGACACAGGCCGGGCCACTAGTTAGTCTTCGCAAATCGAACTGAAGTGAACTCGGCATCGCTTTGAAGTTTAATTGATGGAAGCTGACGGTCGTAAACGGAAATATATCATTATATAGAATATATATATATATATATATATATATAATATATATATATATATATATATATATATATGTGTGTGTGTGTGTGTGTGTGTGTGTGTGTGTGTGTGTGTGTGTGTGTGTGTGTGTATGTATGTGTGTGTATGTATGTATATTTATATATGATAATAATAATGACAGTACTTACAGCATTATTGATAACACTTATAATGATATTGATAATCATAACAACCAAAATGATGAAAGTGATGCTTGATATAAGAACAACACGACAACAGTAATTAGTATTAAACCTGTTTTAACAAAGAAAATCCGAAAATTAGAATGTTATGATTATGAAGTAAAAAGGCTCATCTTGTAAAATATAAAACAAAACAATTTGAATTCAGGTTTTGTAAAATTTAAGAAAGAATGAAAGAAAAAATGCACTTAGTTTCCTATCTTCGTCTTAAACAATTACCCCGTCCTGTGCTGCCACCTGATGAACAAAAAGGCAATTCGGAACGTAGAGAGAGACGTCTTATGAATATATTATCTTAAGCGGAAATGTTAGATTACACAGTAGATTAAGAACCAAAATAGAACATTCCCTTAAGATGAACCAATTGAATAAGACGGGTGGATGATGATAGGATTTATATATTAAAACGCTCTAATATGATATTTTAGTTTCCAAGCGATAGTTTATGAGATAGTAAAGTAAGTACATATATCTCACTACCTATATGTTCAGCTTTTGCAGTCATTAATGAAACATTTATTCTCCATATAATTGATATTACATTCATCATCAATATCATAAATGTTATGATTATTTTTTATCATTATTTTTATCATCACCATTATTACTATTGCACATGTTACTAGAAATACTATCATTATTACCATTACTAACAGTAATATTATAATCATCATAATCATCGTTGATCAGCATCATCACTAGTATTATTTATATCATCATCGGTATTATCATCATTAGTATTAATAATATAATCAACATCAGTTATATTGCTATCATTACCCTTGTGAATATCATTTGCCATTATTGTTATTGTATTCTATTATTATTGTCATTATTATTGATACTATCATTACATTATCATAAATCCTATCATTCCCATCAGTCCTATTATCATTATTATTATCAATCAAATTAATAGTGTATTTTCCTTTTATTGCTATTCGTTTCTGACCTGTCGTCGCACTGATTTTGATATTGATTAATATCATAGTCCTTTTTCATATAAAAATATCTGAACAAAATATATTTTTGATGATCCCTCCAAGGGAAAACGAGATCATGCCCTAAGACATATGGACGTGATGGCCCCGTGTCCCCCAAGCCTTTTCGACCTTTGACCCCTTCACAGAATCCTCCATATCTTAACGACACCAAGGAATGTAGCAATAATACAGATAAGAAGGAGAGTAAAGAAAATGTGGGTTTCCATATGCATGCGTAAGAGGACTGCATGCCCTTCTTTCCATTCACATCGTTAATGGAAACTGCTTAGCAAGCCCTGTCAACTGTTGCTCTGTAATCTCTCCACCCTGAGCATATAGAACAATAGAATAGAAGATTGATAACAACTAACTGAATATGAATCAGAAATTCATATTATCAGTATGTTTTTTTCCGGATTTTCATTTTTTAGGCAAAGGTCAGCTCTCAAAAGAAGTAAATAAAATAAAACCCCAAGGCGTAAATATCCCAGGGAA